TTTTTCGCAGAACTATTTCAAATAATAAGTAGATTCGTTCTAGCGAAAAAAAAATTTGGGGGTTAGGTGCACTTTAACATCACATGAAAAGCGAAAACGTACAGTATGGAATGTTAGGGTCCAGGGTTTGTTATGGTCTCAAAGACTAAAAGGGCTTCATTGTGTCAAATGCAAACAGACAGGTTAGTATCAAAAAGTGTCTGTTAACATCTGAGTAGCAGTTGAAGCAGTTCAACTTAAACCTACAACAAAATGCACAAAAATGACCACAACATGACACAAAGACCTAACATATTACCAGCAGGGGTCTCGTGAGCACCGGCGGCCGGTGGAAATTTGCCATCAGCACTCCTCAGCATCCCAGCCACTTTTGAGATTTTCAAGACACAAAATGCACATACAAAACACTATGTCAACAGTATATCAATTTTATTGCTTTTAAATACTTATTTAGTACATCTCCACGCTGAAAATACAATGACAATTTTGCAGAAAACTCAAAAATGAAGGAAAAATCATGATAATAATCACATCCTCCCACTAATAGTCTGTGGACTCTAGCCTTGGCGCATTTATAATGAGGTTTTTCTCCATGTAACATTGTGCTACTGACTTGTATTTTGGTATTTAATTTTGTTGCTATAATTTTAGTTTTCCATAGGGCCATCAGGGAGACTCCAGTCTCAGACTGTCATTATGCATCCTATTGGAATAGTGTTATTCTTTATGTGAGGTGTATGCCACTAACAATGCCTTTCTCATTGAGGCAACCAAACTTGAATAGTTTAGGGTCATTGAGGGAGATGCTTTTGGCATTAAATACATACTGTGCTTCAAAGGTAACTGATAAGAACCAAAATCATGGTCCTTTTTAGGTTGGGAGGTTCTGAATACTCAGTGCAGGCTACTACAAATAATATCTCTACCTATTTCAACTGTGCCAGAGAACCCTGCTGGCAGCAAAAAATACCACACTAGCTGAACAATGTTACCAAATACAATTGATAGATACACTGTTGCAAATCTGCAAATCCTATCGGCTTTCTAGTTAAACACAATTCACTGTTACATCACAATAATATTACACATTATCACCCTTGAAAAAACCTTTTTTAGAGTAAAAAGGCCCAACAGTGTACATTTTGACTGCTTCTCTTTGTTTTCTGCTGTAAAACAATTAAATGTCTCCTACTCAAGCAATAGTCCACAGCTTTGCCCTGTGACCCAGGAAGTAATGTAGCTTTTAATTTGAAAATAACCTCAATTGAACTGGATTTACATATAGACGATATTCTTCCTGTCATTCCCAAGCTTCTTGAATTGTTACCTGAAACAAAAAGATACAAGTTTTGGTTATTGACAATGGACTAGTCAGATTAGTTAGTTACCTTGGTCTAAAAAAAGCATGAATGGATGAATGAATGGATGGAAGGGATGGAAGGGATGGAAGAACGAATGAATTAACGAAGATACTCCTGTATGTCCTTCTCAAAATTTATACTGGAGTTACCCATCTCACATTTATTCTGTGTCACCTTTCCTTTAGAATTACCCTATCGAGTTGAGGGCTACTCTGACATCAATGTTTGTCCTTAGGAGTTGAGTTACTACAAACACTTTTGTTCCTTCAATGCATCAAAAAAAAAAATGCTGAATCAGGGGATAGAAATTACTCACATGAGAGCAGGCCCCAAACTGACCAAAACAGCGCATCGCTAAGGTTTTAGAACAAACCATGCACTTTATAGTCAGATGACTTTTACAAGCACGAGTATGCGCCAAGCGATGTACCAATCACAGCAGAGAGTGAGAATGAAAAACCTGTTCAGCATCCAAAATATCCACGCTAAGATAACATGGCCAGTAAAACAAGGCATTTGTTGAGCATACTGATTGATTTCCAGCAGAAAAAAACAACCACTTGAACAGGAGTTTCAATAAGGCTTTAAGTGCAGGCATCAGGGTATGACAACTGGGCAGAAAAAATAAGAGCTAGGGGAGTCTGGGGGCATGCCCCAGGAAAATTCTGAAATCCTAAGCTTGCAGAGATGCATTTTCCTGCAATTTGCAGCAGAGAATAAGTACTCTTTAATTGGCTACAGGAGATCATTGTATAGTTAACTAAATCATATTTTGACGCCACTGATCAACATATGAATCAGCAAAAACAAACTCCCAAGAGTTTTTTAATTCTCTTCTTTTTTAATTACTGTGAATGAAAAAAGTGTGCTGTTATAATAGCAAACCACGTGAGCAGAATTCTGCATAACGACACTTACTCCGTAAAGAGACCTAAGTGATATGAGAATTGAAATTGCACAAAATGTCTTGGAGAATGATAAAATCAAGCATTAAATTATTTTTAATTCAGTGCAAACAGGTTATATATTTTTGTCTGCTGAAAATGAAACTCGAAACTGGAAGCAGCGGAGAAGAAATTGGTCACGTGCTAGGCAACCAGTGAAAACAACAAACCGATTGACATGACACTCTATCATTTCGTCACTTTCTAAAGCCAGTCGAGCCAGGCTGAGGAACAATTTTATACCCTCTTCACTCTTTATAGACGAAGAGCCAGCAATAGAAAAAAGTCGTTCCCAAGTATACTGTATTTTCGAAACTATTTTGCTATTTTCGCTGTAAATTTAGAGTGACAAACCGTGAACCAACGAATTTCGCATTAATTGGATTTCACGGTCAATTTCAGACCATTTACTCTCGCGGGAAAAGGTTTTCAGTACTAATCAAAACAAGCTCATTTGTTGAAATTTCTTATAATTCCTTATATATAAATAACATATATATCTTATATATATCTTATATATAAATAATTCTTACATATAAATAATTCACTCATCTAAGCAAAATTATCTGTGAACAACTCTGTACATCTCACTTCACTTACTTTTCTTCGGCAGAGCCGAAAAACATCGAGTTATTTGCCGCGTAGTTTTGACACTTTTCAAGTGGGCTTTCATGCATAACGTATGTTTCCGCTTTGCATCATTGGGCAAATTTTCGGGCAAATGCTATTAAATGCAATTTAACAAAGTTAACAACAAAGAGTATCTGGTACTTCCGGTCAGCAGTATTTGTATGGTATTGCAGGCTCAGTGTACTTCACCATGGTACTAGCGTGTTCCAGCGTGATGGTCCCTGGAATGTTTTGGTTGTAGGATTGAGCAGTTTCCTGCACATCTTTGGCTATTCATCAACATATTTCTGGCTTTTGTGTTCCCATTAGTTTTTTTTCTTTTTCTCATCAAAAAGCTGGCGCTTTCTCCCCACTTTTCTTGGCGATTTTGTTTTGCTTCATTGTTCGCAGGGATCACCGCAAGGCAACCTGCCCATACAAGTCTTCCCAGGGTGTTCAGCGGTCTAGTTTACTCACTCCATCAGGGATCAAGTGCCCACAGTGTTAAGCCAGAGTCTCCAGCTCTTGTAAATGGTGTATATAGTTCCAGTTGTTCACGTTCTAATGACTCCCATTCCAGTGCTGCAAGTTCCAGTTTTTCATCTGTTGGTTATCCAAGTTTCAGTTACCCATGTTCCAGTTTTTCCATTGCCAATTACTCCAGTATTCTTCCAGTTTCCAGTTATGTTGGCTACAATCATTCACATTCTAGTCATCCAGGCTCTCATCATCCCATCCCCAGTGGTAATCATTAACTGCACAGTGTCCCGTATTCAAGTTTCATTCCGGAACAAAGTGGCCATTCACCTCAGGATTCCCCGGACTCCAGTCTTAATGAGAGGGCTTCATGCATCTCTCATTCAAGAAAAGAGGTATCACTGGTCTCCTCAGGCTCCTCATGTCTTACTCAAGATGTTCCCAAACTACTGGAATCAACCCCTTCTTCGGAAGGACATTTTTCTCCCTTGCATCCTCCGTCAATGGTGTCTCCTATTAAGGTGGACAAGCTCGAGGCTGAATTAGGTTGTCGTTCAGACCGTGCCACAGTAAAATTTGTCACCAGGGACCTCTGTTATGGTTTCCGACTTGGATTTAATCCAGAGTCTGTTTCCCTTAAATCTGCCCTCCAAAACATGTCTTCAGCCTTGCTTCAACCCTCTGTTATCAACAACTATTTGTTGGATGAACTAAAAAAAAAAGGAAGAACAGCCGGCCTGTTCTCTGCCCCTCCTATCAGCAACCTCTACATTAGTCGTTTTGGTGTCATACCCAAAAAGCATCAATCAGGCAAATGACATCTAATCCTAGATCTCTCCAGTCCAGCTGGGGTGCGTATTAATGATGGCATTCCAAAGGACCCTTTCACTGTTCAGTATATGTCGGTTGAGGACATTATTGATGGGATTATGGCCTACCGGTGTGGAACACTGATGGCCAAGTTTGACATTAAGAGTGCCTACTGTATTGTTCCAGTCCACCCAGGAGACCGCTTTTTCCTGGGAATGCAGTGGTTGGGAAATTTTTTCAAAGACTTAGTCCTTCCGATCGGCCTGTGGTCTGCCCCCTTCACTTTTACAGCACTCGCAGATTTACTAGAGTGGGTTTTAAGACATTACTACAATATGGATTTTGTTGAGCATTATTTGCATGACTTCCATATGCTGAACCTTTATGGTGAAGAATTTTCCTTCCTTCAACCACTGCGAAAGCATGACGATTGGTGCACCTTCAACTGAGTTTTGCATACAGATTGTGGATTTAAAGCAGCTTCTTGGACTTTCATGCTGGGGGCCAAATGGCCTTAAAATGGGTCATTTAGGGCAAGTTTGCACCCTTTGCAAATTTTATACCAAACTTTGCACACTGCCTTGGATCGTTGTCTTGATCATTCAAGTGTAACAAAATGTCAAAATGTCATACTGTGACGTCATATTTGATGACGTCACAAAAACGTGTCACACAAATTTTCTAACTTCAAACCACCAAATACATCATTTAAAAGGGCATGACTAGGGGACTATTATGCTGAAAACCGTTCCTCGCTATGACAAATATTTCTAGAGTTATAGCAATTCAAAGAAATTTCAGTTTCCCGCCCGGAACCATATGGTTCCTCTTAAATCAACCCCCTTTTCTTCAGTTTTCTTTGAGGAACTCTGAGAATTTGGTAATATAGAGTACTTGGTGCTGCTAAAAAGTTTTTGTTCTTTGAATAATTGATGTCACTTCTAATGACGTCACAAATACGTTTTGAGGTGCTTAGAAGGGCAGGAAAAACATTGATGGGCACTTTTTTGAATTACACCTGTTCTACTCACATAGTACAGTCAATATGCAACATAAGTGAGATTTCTAACAGGAAAACACACCTTCAGTTTGAAAATATTTATCAAGGGGGGCTCGCCGTTTTTTGGCTGAGCATTCTCTAAAATTTAAAATGTCACATCTCCTTTAATTTTTGAGATATTGACAAACGCTTTGAAGCTTTTAACTACTCTTGCTGTGCTCTTTCTAAAGAAGTAAAAAAAGTTGGAATTTAAAAACTGTTAATCAAGGTTATTACATGACGTCATTAACTGTGATGTCATAATTTGATATTTGCTGTCAATTTTGTTGTAAAAAAAAGATCAACATTTTTTTGTCCTCTATTCACTTGCCAAGTTTCATGATGAGATATTTACTACATTTGAAGTTATGCTGAAATAACCAAAATTTGCAACACCTTGATGACCATTTTCAGGGCTGTTTGGTCCCAGCGTGTTTATGTACAGTATTACTTTGAAGTTGAATTCTTGGTAAAGCCACGGCTGAAAAAATGACTGCAAAAGTCATCGGCAAAAACTCAAGCTTTCGCTTTAGCGTGAAGAATTTATTAAGTGATGACGTAGTTGTCGCTTAATGCTGGTGCGCAGCATTCCTTTGGATAGTGATTTCGCACTTTTTTGCGCTGCGCTTATGTCACGCACGATTTATCCCTCAGTGGAAACGAAATGCACTCTGGGAGCTAGTAAATAAGACGCACCAAAAATTCACTGTCTTTGGTTTTGGAGAATGAGAAACTTGTCCTTTGCCGCTGTTGTTTGCAGTTTATACAATTCGCGGAGAGCCTTTAATTTCAGCATTTAAACAAAGATTTTGAGTGTGGATTGTGCTTTATCCAGTATCAGATAAATTTGCGTTCAAGGACAAACTCATAATAAGAACATATCGTCCACACATACAACTTTAGATCGACAAGCAAGTCGCACATGCGATAGGTCAAGGGTCCACATAAAATTTATGTATTTGTGAGTGCTGTGTAGGCTGGATCTTTGCCTGTCTTGAAGTGAATTGAATGAGCACTGTCAGAGCACTGCATGAGCACTGAAATATCTGAACTAAACTTATCTGTGGACTAAAATATTGGTGAAATT